CACACCTGCTTCTACACCTGCTTATATACATATATACACACACAGTCAGTCTTGAGGGTAACCATCTCTTCTTAGCCCCCCTGCTGCTTCCCTCACTCAGCCCCACTACATCAACTCATTCTGCAAGTGTTAGCAATAGACTATTCAGCCAGTTTCCATTGCCCCTCATAAGACCCCATTTGTATTATGCCGTTAAATTATTATAACCTCACCACATAATTAACAAATTCTCTTTAACAAGTACAGAGAAACATGATAAATTTCTAATGATTAGAAATGTCTAGGATTAGCCATCTAAATCCCTTCAATTAGACAACTGAAAGTTATTAAGAAATCTTCATTTACATAATCTTGAAAGGCGATGAGAAAGTTGATATTACCAAATTATATCGAATAAAATGGGGTATAAATAGTGTTAAATATATATATACGAAGTGTAACACGAAATAATTGGATAAAGAGAGACCAAAGTAAATCAAGGTTTGGAAGTAGGATTAATTTACGGAACATATTACCTGGTTATATAATAGACTTTAGGACATCACACACACAGATCACACTAACGTGACGCATCAAATGAACAAATCCACAAGGGCCGTGACGCAGGTTCGAATCCTCATCACGGCCCTTGTGGATTTGTTCTTTAGGACATTGGTTTAAGGAAAAAAGTTTAAAACATGCGAGGTTGAGAGAGTTTTAAGAGCTGCCAAACATGGACCAATACTCTACAATTTGCTTTATTCTCGTGTTTCGTGTACTAAAAGTAGTTAATGCAATCGAGGAGTCACAATAACGTGGCTGAAATATGTTAATCAAACCACACACTAGAAAGTGAAGGGACGACGTCGTTTCGGTCCGTCCTGGACCGAAATTGTGATCACAATCTACTTTAGAATGGTCCAGGACGGACCGAAATGTTGTCGTCCCTTCACTTTTTAGTGTGTGGTCTGGCCAACAAAAGTAGTTAATCAAACCTGTAGTCACACCAAGTCCTCGCTTAATGTCTTTCAGTACACTCACTATAAAAGCAGCCTGTGTGAAAGAACTGGGATTGAACAAAATCTAAAAATTTGCATTCGCGAAAAAATTAATAAAAATAAATATTGGGCATTGTAGCTGGCCGTCTTCACCTTCCTGGTGACATGTAATGCCAGCTCCACAATGCCCCCGAGACGACCTCATTAGCACCGAGGTGAGGCAGCCAAACTTCACTTTTCTACACTTATTTTAACGAATACAAAGAACTTCTGTTTCGGCAAGAAAACTGTAGCCTCCCGGCACCCGATAGTCCTAACGCTGTTAAATGTTTTTGCCACCACTGTCCTGAAAAATGTAGAGTGTGTGTGTGTGAAGGATTAAAAAGATAAGATTTTGACAAGATATTACGAGGAGCAGCACTTTCCACTCCTAAGCTCCACAGTCGCCTATTTCAGTGTACTTTATAAACGGGAAACTAATCATTTAAAGGAAGCTTCGTCCCCTGTAAATTATTTCTGGGGCTGAAGCTTCTCTACATATGCAGGCGAGGAGTCACAATAACGTGGCTGAAGTATGTTGACCAGACCACACACTAGAAGGTGAAGGGACGACGACGAGAATGGTCCAGGACGAACCGAAACAAGTCGATTGTGATGAAGTAGAGACAGGCAATAAATAGGCGAGAGATATCCGAGGAGCAAAGAATCCTATATCAAAGTATTCCCTACATCATCTCCAGGTCAGGATTCATTAAACATATACGCAACGACTTACGCAATTCTTACATCACCCTTTAATGACGGCCACTTTGTTTACTTTACACAGTTAAGGAGTTCAATCACAACGAGGTTTAAAATTATATCCCCATATGTCGTAGCTCAGTTGATTAAGGCAGCGTCTGGGATGCTCTCGGACGCAGGTTCGAATCCTCGTCACGGATCTTGTGGATTTGTTCATAATATCCCCATGTTGTAAAGTTTAAAAACTCGTAAACTGCTAATATAAACACAACTGCTACAATTAAGAAAAGATGTACGGGCTTCGTAAGTGGTTGCAAAAACGTTCTATTCCTGGCTCTTCATCGCAAATGACTAGTCACTCGTTAAATTACCTCCGAGTGGCTTTCAAGTTCACGTTCCGGAAGTCTTCAGACGCTCCTGGATTCATCAGACTGTCCGGCGTTGTGACTATACTGAATATACCAGTCAACGACTCGTTGAAGTGGCACGAGGAACGGACCAAGTAACCTGTGGGTGCTGGCCGCCGCTCATGCATACAGGAGTAAAACCAAGCCTTTAACAAAGATTAAGAAAAACCAGCAGACGTTATATATTGATTTACGATTTAATAATCTCCAGTAATTTGGAGATGATCATAATCCAGTGCGTGCGCTTGGGACATTATAGGACGAGGGCTCGCAAAGGTTTTATGGCCTATTGGGTTTTCTTAATATGACGAGTACCGCAGAAACAAAGCCAACATCTTATAATCATAATTTACTGTGATTTGTAACTAAAGATCCTTAACAGCAAAATTATTACCATTTCCTTGGAAAACCTGTTGATCCAGAGCGTCAGCCTATAACCCAGTGTCTCCTACGCTCCCAAATATTCCATCCACGTGAACGGTAAACAAAGTTCTGGTACCTACAACGTTCATCTCTTCAGCCAAGGAGAGAAGAGTTCCGTTGTGCAATGTGTTGAAATCTGAGCTCTGCACCCAGCAGAAAGTAATATTTTTGGTCTCGTCGCTTTACTAAAGTTAACCACGAGTATTGGGATTACCAGGAGAGGGAGAGGCTTGTAGACCCCCAGGGTGTGAACAACAGCGTCACTATTCCTTTGTCTATCACCTTGTAGTAGTAGTAGGCATCCATCAGTCTCAGACTATGGAGTTGCGCTCTGGTGTCGGCCTGGTCTGGAGTGGCCTCACCAGGGTGCAAAGCCAGGGTAGGTTGATTCGGGGGAGAAGCTGTTACCCAGGCAGCAGGTCCCCCCCTCTCCACGGCGCTGAAAGTCTCCAATGGAAAGACGAAGTTATTTGTACGGTGTACAAATAACCCTGCTAGATTTAGACTGCTAGATTTAGACTGCTAGATTTAGATTTGACTGCTAGACAAATGACTGCTAGATTTAGCTACTGATCTTCAGGGAAATTGTCAGTGGAGCCAAGTCCAGAGACGGAACGGTCTGGACAGACATTTATCATCATCAAAGGAATATCAAGATCAAGAACAGCGAGAAGTCATCTGCAGCGCTGCGTTTGGCGAGCGAGAGGTGCCCAGAGCATGATTAAAACACTACTGTCTCAGGGAGCAAGGTGTGGACAAGACACTGGGCTTGTTGAGATGCACAGTGTTGAGAAGTCATTTAGTATGGAATGCACCCTGCAACATGGCACTGCTGGTCATCTTGTCCAAGGGCGACGTCTACCAGCCACTGGGGTCTCCATTCATATAAGAGTCGAGTTTGGATGGACATAAATAAAATTCTTCCCCCCCATATCGAGGTGAGAATAGCATGAGCTACCTCATTCCTGTGTGTTTATTTTACCTCTAACTTTATTTGAATTCAATTCTGTAATGAACGAATATGCCTTTTGCAGTCTCATTACTTCTTACAAGTGTCATTAAAATGCTTTTTCCATCACCGAACAGTAATCCATACTTAGTATGCAGCCCGTAAAGCTCAAGCAATTTAATTTGAATTCACTGGCCTCTTCAACTAACGCAACAGCTCTACCAAGTATAAGATTGGTCAGAACATTTGAAACATCCCGAAATTAACTTCATTTAACATTTCTCTCTTGTTCTCGCCAACAGAGAACATTGTGCATGTACTTTTCACCGTCACAGTAACCTCAACTATCGTTAACACGCACTTACTGGTACCCCACAGAACCCGGGGGTGCTGAAAGGGGGGCTCCAGAGGGCAGCTGGAAGAGGGGGGGCCCCCCCCCCAGAGGGCAGCTGGAAGAGGGGGGGGCCCCCCCCCCAGAGGGCAGCTGGAAGAGGGGGCCCAGGGTTGAGCTGGCTGGGAGAGCAGAGGAGCCAGGGCTGGAAAGCAAATTCAGTTTGTTTACAAGGGAGGGGAGAGGGTGAAAGGCTGGGAGACTGGGCAAGCAGAGTTAAAGGGAACATCTTTGAAGTAAGAGAAGCTACATAGAGACGAGAGGAAGGCGACAGAGGGGGCAGGAGGGACGGGGAAGCAGGATGGACTGACGCCAGGATCAACAGGCAGGATTAAATGATTTGCTAAAGAAAACGTTTTGAAGTTGTAGTCAAAAGCTCATTAATATTGGCACCTATAGCAGAGAAAATAATGAGGTCCATAAGTCGGGAAGTGCAAGTCGGGGAGCAGAAAGTCGGGGGAGGGAGCTTTACCGAGAATGAGGTCAGATGAATTTGATTATGAGGTGCTTACCGAGAACTGCATTCATAGACGATCAATTTAAGCAACAAAGCAAACATAGACGAGAGCAGATAAACACACAAATAACCAGAGCAGCTAGGAGGGATAAAAGGCTAAAAACCTTCAAAAAGATCAGCTTTCAACACGTGCCAGGTAGACTGTCCCCAGACACACTGGGAGCACCATTCCAGGCCTCTGGAGACCCCAGTTACTCCACGGGTTACCCCCAAGACCCAACCCTCCACCTCTACTCTTCTACAAACACCATGACAACACGACTGAAGGTGAACAGGTTCACATGTACCCAATACCCTCCCTCAGGTACATTCAATAGCCTCACCACCCACAGATGTCCCATTGTCGGGGCACAGTCAACACGCCCTCTTAAATATAAGATCGCTTTTCGCTCGTATGCGCGCTATGGCCAAAAATGGACAGTTTTAAATGACATCTGCTCACATATGTGAGTAGAACAGGCGTATCACTGTCTTAAGATAGATTTTTACGGTCCATCCTGGCCCATTCTCAAGTCGATTGTGAGAATCGAAACACTTATTACTTTCACTAGGAGTCAAATGTATGAACATTAAGGACTGTTTATTTGCATCTCACCTTCCGTCAGGACGCTGGCAGCGCTGGATCCCTTTGCGAAGTTTATTTTTTTATTGAAGGGGCTGTCAGTCTTGCTTGAGGGGCAATAGAGGGCATCGGTAGAGGTTCCAAGACTATCAGTGGAGTCGTCGTTGGTAACGCCAGTAGAGTCGTGATCAGTGGGAAGCTTCCACTTGTCGCCGCATCCCTTACGAAGCCCATCCTGGTCTTTCGTGGCTTTGTTTATTATCTGTATGGAAAAATAAATTTCGTAGCCTTGTACCTCACCAAGATTAAACAAAAAACATGAAATATCGATAGTTTCCCAAACAGCCACAAATCAATGTTAATATATAATTTATTTACAAATTATTGCAATGAAAAATGCTAAATGTTGAATCCACTCCTGTATATGTAAACAATCACATAGATCTCCAAAGTACTGATACCGTATTGATACAGGACAGACCAACCACACCGAGATAAGGAGGATTTTTTAGCATCATATAGCTAGCTCTAAAACTCTGTACCCCTCTATGAAGTCTATGGTAGCTGCATAGTAGCTGCATAGCGTTAACAAAAATAAGCGAGCACTGGTGCTCTCTGACGTAGGTTCGAATCCTCGTCACGGCCCTTGTGGATTTGTTAAAGTTCGGGTGATTGTGGTAAGCGCCTCCACCTGAACAAGGTCGCGCCTGGGACCTAGAACTCTTGAGTAGTAGACCCCCCTGCTACTGCCCTGGGGCCAGATTCACGAAGCAGTCACGCAAGCACTTACGAACCTGTACATCTTTTCTCAATCTTTGGCGGCTTTGTTTACAATTATTAAACAGTTAATGAGCTCCGAAGCACCAGGAGGCTGTTTATAGCAATAACAGTTGATTGGCAAGTTTTCATGCTTGTAAACTGTTTAATAAATGTACCAAAATCGTCAAAGATTGAACAGTTTACAAGCAGGAAAACTTGCGAATCAACTTGTTATTGTTATAAACAGCCTCCTGGTGCTTCGGAGCTCATTAACCGTTTAATAATTGTAAACAAAGCCGCCAATGATTGAGAAAAAGATGTACAGGTTCGTAAGTGCTGGCGTAATTGTTTCGTGAATCTGGCCCCCCTGGCCCTTCGCCCACCCCTACAACTAACCTGCTGCTGGGCATCTGGGCTGAAAGGCGTGTCGAAGATGTCTCGACTACCTGCCTCTTTTGTCGTGGTCTTTGAGCCCAGAAAGCGCCAGATAATGCTCTGCTGTTCAGCCGGACTGTTCATCACTAGCTTTGGGAGGGACCCCTTGCCAACGACTCGCGAAGGTGCTGTGGCTAAAGGAGGTTCTGTTTTAGGTGCAGATGGCTGTACCTTTTCTGACGCGGCTGGAGGAGCCGCTGGAGGCGAGGAGTGAGCAGATACTTTGGACCCCATCGTCCCGCCTCCGCTGCCTTGAGCGCTACGGATCTCATTGATGAGGTTATCGACGTGCGGCATATCTGCTGAAGCAATGAATTTAAAATAGTATTTTTTTGGACATGGTGAGGGTTCAAATTGTATACACAGGTGTTTAGAACAGCCGAAAATCTTTATTTTCCTGTTGGCAAAATATTAAATCTGCCACTTTTCACCAGAAAACTTGCTTATATAAAAAGATTGCTAGCAATACATATTGTTGATTACGTGTTGTTCAACTGAAACATCAGTATTGAATGATGATTAAGATTCGCTACTCAGAACAATAAGTTCCAGTAGCACGGGCTATGGCGAGCCCGTAAACAGTATTGAAAGATAACTTACGCCTGTAATGTAATAGGAAAACAATTGTGACCTTCCCTCCCACCTATATATGAAGTAAACATGGAAGGGTGACCTTACTCTAGCAGCGAGGGAAGGAACGAATTATCAAGGGAAAGTGCCAAGCCATTACGACTATATAGCACTGGGAAGGGGTCAGGATAAAGATTTGGGATGGGACGGGGAGGGAAGGAATGGTGCCCCAACCACTTGTGGACGGTCGGGGATTGAACGCCGACCTGCATGAAGCGAAACCGTCGCTCTACCGTCCAGCCCAAGTGGTTGGGTAATCAAGCAGCGAGTACCTCCCTTCCCTTCTCTTCCTCACCGTCCCACTAACGAGGCAAAACCCCTACCTCCCCCCCCCACCACAGTCATTTTGCCAGAGAACAACTGTTTATCGTCTCATCTACCCCCCCCCCCCCTCTGCCCAACCACTTGGGTTGGACTGCAGAGCAACGGTCTCGCTTCATGCAGGTCGGCGTTCAATCCCCAACCGACCAAGTGTTTGGGTACCATTCCTTCCCCCGTCCCATCCCAAATCCTGATCCTCACCCATTCCATGTGTTATATAGTCGTAATGGCTTGGCGCTTTCCCCTCATAGTTCCCCCCCCCCCCACGTTGCTGTATAATATTTTTTAAAAGAATAGTGTTAAGTCCCTCGTTACCCCCACCTGGACAGCACTAATCACTAAGGCTTCCAAGAACTTCCTCCAGGCGCAAGCAGTTCTTGACATGTTCTTGGTAAGAACACTTTCTCCTCGTGTTCATCCAAGCTTTCTCATCTGCGGACTTATCTCCCCGATAACAGCTTAACGTTTCTTGAAGATTTATTCCCTTGTTTTACTCATGTTCGAAAAACTGATATTTTGTTTTGTGCTTTAAGTCAATTCATAATATTAGTCAAGATCGTTAAGTTAGGGGCATTAATCAGTCTCATTCCGAGGGAAAGTTACTTCGCAAAGAGTGCGGAAAAATCTTAGAAAATACATTTACAAAAATAATAAACTTGCCCCACAGCAAAAAGTATAATAACCAAGTGTGCATAATTATCACTAGTAAATTCAGAACAATTTACACATTTTTTTACTAGTCTGTACCATTACAACTCTAGGTCGAGTGGGACACACACACACAGACCAACAGAGACGCCCCCCCAACAGAGACGCCCCACACTCTTTTGACCAAAGAGCCAGAGCTCAACCCCCGCAAGCACAACTAGGTGAGTACAGATCCCCACAGAGACCCCCCCCCCCCACACAGCCTATAACAACCACTAAGCCGTAACTTGTTACAGTCAATAGGGGGAAGGGAAACATTATCACCAAGCTACTTGCACTAAAGAGATTTCACGACCAAAGATCGCATTCACTCCAAAAAAATCGATCACTTACGGGCTATTCATGCCTATGCCACCTCTTGGGTGACTTAATGTTCATCAATCAATCAATTTAAAAAAAAAGGTAGTCACGCGAGTTGCTAGTGGGGAGACATCTCCCGTCACGCAGGGTGCAGTCGCACCTCCACAGATCTCCAGTATCAGCTCTTGATACTGGTAATGGCTCAAAAGGGCCACCACTTATGGGCTATTCATGCCCGTGCCACCTTTTGGATGGCTTAATCTTCATCAATCAATCGAGTTGCTAGTCCATCGTGGACAGTTAAGGGCGCCCGACTGATCCGTGGGCCAAGACAGACACACACAAACCGACACGTGTTCATTCCTCTGATGTAAATATGAGTCGACCCCACGAGAGAGAGTTTTGTAAAAAAAATATATATTTTTACCGACAAAGTTAAATTGCGATATGATCGCGCGCGTGTGTGTATGTATGTGTATGTGTATGTGTATGTATGTGTATGTGTATGTATGTGTGTGTATGTATATACGTGTGTAGTAACGTGAAAAGTTCTATATTAAAGCAGAGAAAGTTTCCGAGATGCACTGAGAACACAGCCTTCAGCCTCCAAGTCACCCCAGCCAAGTACAAGACACTTACAAGTCACAATCGACTTGAGAATGGTCCAGGACGGACCGAAACGTCGTCGTCCCTTCAACTTCTAGTGTGTGGTCTGGTCAACACTTACTGTACTCGAGGCTACGGTGGTGAATGAGGAGAGAAGCCACCGAGTACACGGTGCACGCGCGTGTGTGTGTGTGTGTGTGGACGGCCTCCCTCACTCCACTCTCACGCAACACAATAAACTGGCCACCTGTTGACGCAGTTGTTGACCCTCGATTTCCCTCACAGGTCCTGGTGGCTGACGGAGAAGCCTGCCATTAGACTGACCATTAGACTGACGGCCTGCAGGCAGTCCGTCCTCACACTGGGTTTTTTAAAGCAGCGGCCGTCCTCCTCACACGCAGTCAGCCATTTGAACATACTGTGTATTATAAACTGATTTGTTCTCGTATATAAAATAATATTGTTATTCATCAAAATTCTGTGTATAGTTAGCCGTAGGTTAGGTTAGATGTTTAACTTCTGTTGGCGATTATTTGTATTCGAAATACGTGGGTGAAGCATTTATAGAATTGTGGTTCGAACAGAGGACGTGAGTGAAGCACTTGTTCCGGAAGTGTTCGGAAGTCATCAGTTGTGAGTTGTTTGTAAACAGCTTTTCATTCATAGACAGGGGTTTTGGCGGCTGGATTAACGAGCTTGGGTCTTTGTATGTGAGGACTGGCTGCTGCAGACCAGTTAGGAGAATCCCGTCGTCTCGAAATCTATTTGGAAATCTGCGAGTGCGGAGATTACCGAAGCCGTGGCCAAGACTGCGAACACGTGTGGCTAATGAGAATTACTCTGGGTGTAACCGCTCTCCCGCACCTGAGCAGTCTTTACCTACTCAACAAACGAGTTACCAGTTGTCTGGTAAATATAGAGTCGTAAACAAATACCTGCATTGTGTTGCATTTTGTAATTTCTCTCCCAAAGATTATTTCTGGGGGCCGACTCCCAGTGAATCCATAATTCGAAACGCCATGCTCGGAGCTTCGAGCCATCATATGAGCTTAGAAGTAATCGTATTCGCGTATTTCCGAATAAAAGCATAAAATTCATTACTAGAATCCGCTCGGCCTCATAAACAAATGCCAAATGCTAGGTAATCCAGCAGCCAAACCCTCTGTTTATGGATGAAAACCCGTATACACACGACTCATAACTGATGACGAGTGTGTACTCTTTTTCGAGCAGAGCAGAGCTGACGTTCTCTGCTTGAACGACAACTCTATAAATGTTTAACCAAACCACACACTAGAAAGTGAAGGGACGACGACGTTTCGGTCCGTCCTGGACCATTCTCATTCAACAAATGCTTCACCCACGTACTACAAACACAAATAATACTCAATTGAACCTAAGCCTCTAAGCTAACCTATGCCTAACTATAACATATAATTGTATTGTATAATAATATTAATATATAGTTGACCAGACCACACACTAGAAGGTGAAGGGACGACGACGTTTCGGTCCGTCCTGGACCATTCTCAATTCGATTCATTCTCAATCGACTTGAGAATGGTCCAGAACGGACCGAAACGTCGTCGTCCCTTCACCTTCTAGTGTGTGGTCTGGTCAACATACTTTAGCCCCGTTATTGTGACTTATCACCTGCATATTAATTTATATATTAGAACAAACTTACTTTTTATTACACTGTTAAAGTTGACGAAGATGTCTCGAGGGGCGGGGGGGGAGTCTGGCTTTATGACAAGTTTCTAGAATAAATCATAATTACTTTTGATATCACATTGATATTTGTTTGTTTCTACGATCGCTGTCTGTTGTTTTTTAAGATTCAGCTACTCTGAACCAAAAGTTCCAAGTAGCACGGGCTATGGCGAGCCCTTAGTGGACTTGTAGAATCGCTGCCGTTGGCATGACATGTGCCGTGTACGCCGCCAGGGGGCTGTCATAAGGGAACATGTGACAAATACATAATTTCGCCATCAATGTTATGTTCCGGCCCTCCTTGATTCGTGATAATACAGGCACGTGTATGTTGAGGGGTGTATAATGACTATTACTGTATGTATGTAATACATACAGTAATAGTCCTGAATTAATAGTTTCAGGAATAGTCCTGAAACTACAGGTCCTGAACAGGTCTCAAGACTCCAGTCTTGAGACCTGTTCAGGACCTGTAGTATCCTTGTAGGCCATAAGATTTAACCACAACAACCAACCTAACATTAGCTACGCGAAGCTAATCTAACCTAACCTAATCTAACCTAATCTAATCTAATCTAACCTAATCTAATCTAATCCTAATGCAATACTGCTCTAAGAGTTTTATTTACTTCTCATAAAAGGTACGGAATAATGCTCCTATTGGGCTTGAGAAGACAATGTTTATTCAAACAACATAAAATTTGGTCTTCAGACAAAAAGAGTGAGTGTCGATCACTCGAGTTTACGTGTCCAGGAATCGTGTTGTTCCCTGCAGTAGTTGTGTAGTTATGACTGAGATGTTTTGGGTCACTTTTCAGGCAGTAACTTCAGTGTTTCCTGAGAGCACGGTGTGCGAGGTAGTGTTTCCTGAAGACCTCTTCGTATCATGTTTGACTCCTGAAATGTAAATGAATTGCCGAACTAAAGGAGAAATTCTCGCGGTTTTCAGTGGCAGAAGAGAGTTGTGTCACGATTGCTTGGACAGATAAACACGCCATAGTGAAGATTAAAGTGTGTTTATAGTGTACAGAACACCACGCCTGAGAGGAAGTCCTGGTGCTCACGAGAACGAGCACTTTGCAACTGGCCAAGATAGAGGACTCGCTCCATATACAACGGTACAGTAATCATGTTTTAATCGTTAAATTTTGAGGCGATATCACTTTTTTTCCCCATTGATATTCGCTACAGACACGTTGTGTTGGTGTTGACTTAGAGGCCAAATTCTCGAAGCAGTTATGCAAGTACTTACGAACGTGTACATTTTTCCTCAATCTTTGACGGCTTGGGTTACAATTATTAAACAGTTTACAAGCATAAAAAGTTGCCAATCAACTGTTGTTATTGTTATAAACAGCCTCCTGGTGCTTCGGAGCTCATTAACTGTTTAATAATTGTAAACAAAGCCGCCAAAGATTCAGAAAAGATGTACAGGTTCGTAAGTACTTGCGTTACTGCTTCGTGAATCCGGGTCCAGCACAGCAGACACTGACGTCGTGTACAGTTTAGGTAAGATGTTATGCTGATGGGAGTTAGTCCTGAAGCGCGTGAAGAGTCTTCTATATATATATATGAAAGTTAGTATATTAGTATATACTAATATTAGTAAAGTTTGAGAAAAGTCGTGCGTGTGGACATTTCTCACCGAATGATAATAAAAGTGTTATATGAATAATTCTATTCATATAACACTTAATAGAATAATTAATATATGCACAAAACTATTTTATATTTGTGACTTGATTGGGTACCCAGCAGTATCCAGGTCTCTGCCACACACACCATAGAAGGTCTTCCCCCTCCCCCCTGCACACCCTCCCTGTCTCCCCCCCTGCACACCCTCCCTGTCTCTCCCCCCCCCCCCTGCACACCCTCCCCCTGTCTCTCCCCCCCCCTGCACACCCTCCCTGTCTCTCCCCCCCCTGCACACCCTCCCTGTCTCTCCCCCCCCTGCACACCCTCCCTGTCTCTCCCCCCCCTGCACACCCTCCCTGTCTCTCCCCCCCCTGCACACCCTCCCTGTCTCTCCCCCCCCCCTGCACACCCTCCCTGTCTCCCCCCCCCTGCACACCCTCCCTGTCTCCCCCCCCTGCACACCCTCCCTGTCTCCCCCCCTGCTCACCCTCCCTGTCTCCCCCCCCTGCACACCCTCCCTGTCTCCCCCCCCCCTGCACACCCTCCCTGTCTCCCCCCCTGCACACCCTCCCTGTCTCCCTCCCCCTGCACACCCTCCCTGTCTACCCCCCTACACACCCTCCCTGTCTCCCCCCCCCCCTGCACCCTCTCCCTGTTTCCTTCCCCTTGCACACCCTCCCTGTCTCCCCCCCCCCCCTGCACACCCTCCCTGTCTCCCCCCCTGCACACCCTCCCTGTCTCCCTCCCCCTGCACACCCTCCCTGTCTCCCCCCCCCTGCACACCCTCCCTGTCTCCCCCCCCCCCTGCACCTCCTCCCTGTCTCCCCCCCCCTGCACACCCTCCCTGTCTCCCCCCCTGCACACCCTGTCTCCCCCCCCTGCACACCCTCGCTGTCCCCCTTCGCCCACCCAACCACTTGGGCTGGACGGTAGAGCGACGGTCTCGCTTCATGCAGGTCAGCGTTCAATTCCCGACCGTCTAAGTGGTTGGGACACCATTCCTTCCCCCCGTCCCATCCCAAATCCTTATCCTGACCCCTTTCCAGTGCTATATAGTCGTAAAGGCTTGGCGCTTTCCCCCTGATAACTCCTCCCCTCACAGCGTAAAGTTGATATATGCCAAGATTCGTCGTGGGGGTCACTTTGGCACCGTGTCAAGTGGCACTTGTTTTATTTATGCCAACCCCGATCTGGGCGAGTTAGGCTCATGGCTGTCTCTCTCTTCCTCTCCCTTCCTCCGCCTTTATTCATATCTCCCTTGTTCCTTCTCCCTATGTCTTCCACCATGTTCTCCTCTCCTTCCTCATTCCCCCTCTTCTTCACCATTCTTCTCTTCTTCTCTCTCCACCATTACCCTCTTCAAACCCTCTCTGTTAAACCCCATTCTCTCTCTCAGAACATACAAAACCAACAAACACACAACATTATTTCTACAATTGTTACGTTCCTGCAACGTTGTAAGAACGTAGTTAAACAACGAGTTTGCTGTGTTGAGAGAAATTAACTTCGGATACTATGAGCAGCTGGAAAGCTGTTGGGAATATCTCTGGACAACAGTATCTACATTTATACTTTACAGTAGTTTCTGGTAATTGTGTAAAGAGCTTATCTGTCTTGAAGGGTTGCTGGGGCCGGCCCCGACTGGACTATGATACTCCCATCCCACCCATGTGTCACTTTGAAAAGCTGGGCAAGGCTAACCCGAAATATTGGTGTTACATGTAGACGAGGAGTCACAATAACGTGTCTGAAATATGTTGACCAAACCACACACACACTAGGGTGTGGAAGGGACGACGACGTTTCGGTCCGTCCTGGACCATTCTCAAGTATTCCTGGACCATTCTCAAGTCGTCCTGGCCCATTTCCAAGTCGTCCTGGACCATTCTCAAGTCGTCCTGGACCATTCTCAAGTCGTCCTGGCCCATTCCCAAGTCGTCCTGGACCATTCTCAAGTCGTCCTGGACCACTCTCAAGTCGTCCTGGACCATTCTCAAGTCGTCCTGGACCATTCTCAAGTATTCCTGGACCATT